TTATTTATTTAAAATTTTTAGAGTTTATTAACAAGTTAAAAGTTTAAAAGTTTAATTATCGCGTTATATCCTTTTAAATATTACATATTTCTTGTGATCTGTTTGTGGTATTTCAGAAAAAAAAGACATATTATTGTCGTGAAAGGCTTGTTTTTTAAATCGTTTGGGCAGTAACAATCGTCATGGGGCTATTTTACCACAAGGTGAAAGCACCCCCTTGCTGCTAGCACCCCTGTGCTATATCCGTGCTGCTAGCACCCCTCTGCTCCCTCCCCGCTGGGAGCACCCCTGCTGCAGCACCCGTGTAGCACCTCTGTTGACACCCCTTTGGTAGAACCCCTCTGCTACACCCCTGTGCTAGCACCCCCCCCTATAGCACCCCTGTGGTAGCCCCTTCTGCTGTTAGACCTTGCTGCTAGAAAACCCCCGTGATAGCTCCCCGTTCATCCTCCCTGCGCTAGACCCCCGTTCTATACCCCTGTGGTAGAACCCTCTGCTGGTAGAACCTCTTGCTGCTAGCATCCCCTGCGCTGCACCCGCCTACTGCTAGACCCCCCTGCTAGCACCCTGCTGCTAAAACCACCTGCTGCCAGCCTCACCTGTAGCGCCCCGCCCCGGGGGGCTGAGAGAAGTGGTTCAATATACGAAGACTCTTCCCAGGGGTTTAAGACTCTGCCGGCGCCTCTCCTTCACTCGATTGTCCCCGGGCCCCAACGTGAAAACGAGAGAGATAGAGAAAGAGAGAGAAAGGAAGTAGGTGTGAAAAAGGAAAATATATGCGTACATATATCCATCTATATCTATTTATATACAAATATAATATTTTTTTTTTTTTTTTTTTTTTTTTCAACAAGTCGGCCGTCTCCCACCGAGGAAAGGGTGACCCAAAAAAGAAAAAAATCCCCAAAAAAAAATACTTTCATCATCATTCAACACTTTCACCACACTCGCACATTATCACTGTTTTTGCAGAGGTGCTCAGAATACAACAGTCTAGAAGCATAAACATATAAAGATACACAACATATCCCTCCAAACTGCCAATATCCCAAACCCCTCCTTTAAAGTGCAGGCATTGTACTTCCCATTTCCAGGACTCAAGCCCGACTATATGAAAATAACCGTTTCCCTGAATCCCTTCACTAAATATTACCCTGCTCACACTCCAACAGATCGTCAGGTCCCAAGTACCATTCGTCTCCATTCACTCCTATCTAACACGCTCACGCACGCTTGCTGGAAGTCCAAGCCCCTTACCACAAAACCTCCTTTACCCCCTCTCTCCAACCCTTTCGAGGACGACCCCTACCCCGCCTTCCTTCCCCTATAGATTTATATGCTTTCCATGTCATTCTACTGTGATCCATTCCCCTCTAAATGACCAAACCACCTCAACAACCCCCTTCGCCCTCTGACTAATACTTTTATAACTCCCCACCTTCTCCTAATTTCCACACTCCGAATTTTCTGCATAATATTACACCAAAAATTGCCCTTAAACAGGACATCTCCGCTGCCTCCAACCGTCTCCTCGCTGCGCATTTACCACCCAAGCTTCACACCCATATAAGAGTGTTGGTACTACTATACTTTCATACATTCCCTTCTTTGCCTCCATAGATAACGTTTTTGAAATCCAATATACCTCAACGCACCACTCACCTTTTTTCCCTCATCAATTCTATGATTAACCTCATCCTTCATAAAAACCATCCGCCGACACGTCAACTCCCAAGTATCTGAAAACATTCACTTCTTCCCTACTCCTCCTCCCCAATTTGATATCCAATTTTTCTTATCTAAATCATTTGACACCCTCATCACCTTACTCTTTTCTATGTTTCACTTTAACTTTCTTCTTTACACACATTCCCAAACTCATCCACTAACCTTTGCAATTTTCTTTAAATCTCCCATAAGCACAGTATCATCAGCAAAAAGAAAACTGTGTCAATTCCCATTTTGAATTTGATTCCCCATAATTTAATCCCACCCCTCTCCCAAACACCCAGCATTTACTTCCTTTACAACCCCATCTATAAATATATTAAACAACCATGGTGACATTACACATCCCTGTCTAAGACCTACTTTTAACCGGGAAGTATCTCCCTCTCTTCTACACACCCTAACCTGAGCCTCACTATCCTCAAAAAAAAACTCTTTACAGCATTTAATAACTTACCACCTATTCCCATATACTTGCAACATCTGCCACATGCTCCTCTATCCACTCTATCATATCCCTTTTTCTAAATCCAAATAAATGCAATAAAAACTTCCCTACTTTATCTAAATACTGTTCACATATATGCTTTTAATGTAAACACCTGACTACACATCCCCTCCCACTCTAAAACCTCCTTGCCATCCCAATCCTACATTCTGTCTTACCTCTAATTCTTTCAATTATAACCCTACCGTACACTTTTCCTGGTATACTCAGTAAGCTTATTCCTCTATAATTTTTACAGTCTCTTTTGTCCCCTTTCCCCTTTATATAAAGGGACAAAACATGCTCTCTGCCAATCCCAGGTACCTTCCCCTCTTTCATACATTTATTAAACAAAAGTACCAACCCACTCCAACACTATATCCCCCCCTGCTTTTAACATTTCTGTCATGATCCCATCAGTTCCAGCTTTACCCCTTTCATTTTACGTAATGCCTCACGTACCTCCCCCACACTTACATTTTGCTCTTCTTCACTCCAAAAGATGGTAAAACCTCCCTGACCAGTGCATGAAATTACTGCCTCTGTTTCCCTTTCCCTTTAAAATTTAAAAGTTCCTCAAAATATTCTCGCCATCTACCCAATCCCCCCATCTCCCCATCTCTAACTCCCCTACTCTGTTTTAACTGACAAATCCATATTTTCCCTAGCTTTCTTAACTTGTTTAACTCACTCCAAAATTTTTTTCTTATTTTCATTAAAATTTCTTGACAGTGCCTCTCCCACTCTATCATCTGCTCTCCTTTTGCACCCCTCTCACCACTCTCTTTACCTTTCTTTTTTCTCTCCATATACTCTGCTCTTCTTTTAACACTTCTGCTTTGTAAAAACCTCTCATAAGCTACCTTTTTCTCTTTATCACACCCTTTACTTCATCATTCCACCAATCACTCCTCTTTCCCCCCTGCCCCCACCCCCCTATAACCACAAACTTCTGCCCCCACATTCTAATACTGCAATTTTTAAAACTTTCCAAACCCCCTTTAACCCCCCCCACTAAAACATCTTTTTCACTGCCCCCCCTTTCTGCCCCTATCGCTTATATTCACCCGAACTTCCCCCCCCCCTTTTTTATCACTTTCATTCCCTCTTACTTGTTTGTTGCCACCTTCCCCCTTTTCCCCTCTACCCTTTTCTAACTACTACAACTAAATAAATCCGAAATCGTTGCCCCCTATAAACTGTACATCCGGGGGCCTACCCATCAAACCTTTTTTCCACCAAACATAAACAATAAACACTTTCCCTTTCGTGCTAATATACCTTGATATTTATTTTATCCTCTTTTTCTAAAATATTTTACTTATTACCAAATTTTTTTTACACATAGCTCAATTAAAGGCCCCCATTTACTTTACCCCGGCACCCCAAAAATTTTCCCACTACTCCCCCATAACATTTTTTTCCCACTTTACCATTAAAATCCCCCAAAACCCCCATTACTCTCACATTGATTAAAAATCCCACGCATTCACTCAACATTTCCCAAAAAAACTCCTTTTCTCCTCTACACTTCCTCTTCTCCAGGGCCCTACACGCTTATTATAACCCACTTTTCACATCCAAAACTTTATTTTACCCCCATAATCCTTGAATTAATACATTAATCCCTCCCCTTTTCCCGCCTACATCCTTCAAAATTATTGCTACTCCTTCTTTACTTAACTCTATTTGAAACCCCCCGAAACCCAATCCCATTTATTCCTCTCCACGAAACTCTCCCACCCCCTTTAGCTTTTTTTCATTAAAGCCAAAGGACATCCACTTCTTCTCATTCATAACTCCACAAAACATCTCTTTTCTTTCATCTGCACAACATCCACCACATTAGCTTCCCACTTGCAAATTTTTTTTCTTTTTATTCTTTTTAGTAACTTTTCAGGAAAAGGGGTTACTACCCATTGTTCCCGCATTTTATTGACTTTTAAACAGCATGGCTTTTCGGAGGAAATTCTTTTCCCCTTCCCCATGGATATAAAAGGAAAAATTAATAACCAAGACTATTTTGATAAAATCAAAGAAAACCAATTTGGGGTGTATAAATAAAATTGTAATTATGTGTAGTGTGACCTAAGTGTAATAGAAGTACAAGACATCCTTAACTTGCATATTTTGAGCGACAAAAGACATCAGCACCACCCTCATGTAAAAACAATCACAGGTTCGTTTTTTACACCACTTGGCAGGCGTATCCTCCCGGGGGGGTTGCTGCTACCAACCTACACCATAAAAAAAAATATATATATATAATATATTAAAAAATAAATATATATATATATATATATAATTACGTAGGGGGAAAATGCTTTATTTTCTACCGTTTTAAATAAATTAATTTTGTTATGTAAGAACATCAGGTTTAAATGAATGAAGCTTTAACCAATTAATTTTTAGCAAATTTTCTATATATTATTATTATTGTGCAGATTTTGAGAAGATTCATTTTGGTCCAGCTTGTAATAAAATATTTTTTAAGAGTATTACCAAGAGTATTATCTGTGTGTGTGTGTGTGTGTGTGTGGTGTGTGTTTTGTGTGTGTGTGGTGTGTGTGTGTGTGGTGTGGTGTGTGTGTGTGAGAGAGAGAGAGAGAGAGAGAGAGAGAGAGAGAGAGAGAGAGAGAGAGGGGCATGAGTCTTTGCTCGCTTGCGTGTGTATATACGGGCTACGTACTTACACTTGGGTAAGTGTACATTAGCTAATGCCTTGGACCCACTAAGCCAAAGTAAGAGCAGGTGATGCACCACTTTCACCATTACCATGACTCACCTCCTGGGCATGGTGCAGTAAGCTGGGTTCAGTAGCTGTAGCGGCGGTCGAGACTGCTGTTGCTGAAGCTGCGAGTTTTGCTCCTGCTGCTTGTATGGTAAATCTAAAAGGTCAGGATAATGGCCTCCGCTGCCCATGGACAACTGAGAACCTGCCTGACGTAGGAGGCTATCCTTACTGTCGAATTTGGTATCCTTCCACCTCAGTCTCTCCTCTATAGGTTGGAGAGGGGTGGCAGTAGTCTCTGACTTGGGGATCTCCACGTAAGAGACTGTACTAGGAGAGGTAGTTTTGCCGCTCGCTACTTGCCCAGGCTTTGCCAGTCGTCTCTTCTCCTTGTCTGTGTACACGTTCGGTTTTTCTAATTCCTTGGTCGAAGGAAAGTCGTCGACAGAAGCGTCTCTCAACATCCACGACTTATCGGAATGTGTTGGCAACGGCGACGGCTCATCCAAGTCGTTCGTGGGCACAATGTGGTACTCCGCCAGCTTCGGATGAGAGTCGCTGGAGGTGCTTCCATGTTCTTGCGATGATTGCGGCGTCTCGTTTTTGTGCTCACTTTCTTGGCCTCGACGTCGCCGAAGGCGCTGACGTCGGCGGAAAAGTATGGCCAAAAGTAGAAGGAGAATTACGCAGATGATTGCAACGACACTCAACAGTCCGCCAGTTACGAAGACACGATCCATAGTTACCAGTCGTACCTCAGCGATCTCATTGGACACTTGAAGGGTCAGGTTGGCCTCGACAGTGCCAGCTTTGTTGTGAGCCACGCAGCGGTAGGTGCCTTGATCGTGTGGTGATGCACCCGAGATAGTCAAGTTGGACAAGCGAAATTCTCTGGTCTGAGACACCAGTTCTAGCATGCGGTACCGCTGGGAGTCGCTCCCGTTTTGAAGGGGACGGTCACCTATCAACCAGGTTATTGCTGCATCCACGTCATTCTCCAGGCGACATGATAGCGAGATATTTTCACCGTGAGCTGCCATAACTCTGGGCGCCACCGCTGTTATCTTTGGTTCACACACAAACTCGTCCAGGGTCAATGTCTGCCAAGAGTAACCTTGCAACCGTCCAGGAAACACACACATAGGCGGCTCCGAAAATGCTACATTGCGCTCTATCATCCACTGTCGTAGTGGACGAAGCTGACAGCCACAGTGCCAAGGGTTGCCATCCAGGTGTAATTCATGTATGGCCACCAGAGGAACTACCATTTCCGCGTGCAGTGTGTTCAACTTGTTCACCGATAGTTTGAGCACCTCCAGGCGAGTCAACCCGCGGAAAGCACGTTTGTGGATCAACTCGATCTGGTTGTGAGAAATATCCAAGCGCACCAAATCTGGTGTGGGTGTAAAAGATGCCTCAGGCAAAGACGTGATGATGTTATGAGCCAGACGCAACTCCCTTAGCCCTGATACATCACTGAGAGCCGCTGAGGGCACCAAGCGCAGCAGGTTGTGGCTCAGATCCAGCTCCACCAAGTTGGCCAGCATGTTAAAAGCGCCACCGTCCAGGTGTTTGAGGTTGCAGTAATTGAGCCAAACTTTCTGCAGGTTCACAAGACCTGTGTCGACGAAGGCATCACGAGGGAGAATCTGCAGATTGTTATTCTTTAGATCAAGCACTTGTGTAGAGGGATCCAACCCCCGCGGGATGTCGATGAATTCGGAATCTGGGCACGACACAGTTTCCTTCCCATCCCGCCACTTACACTCGCATACCTTAGGGCACGTGCTAGTTGCCCCACACACAACCCACGCGCCACAAAAATGCCCACACCCATGACCACAGAATAGTTCGTCGCAGCCTGGCTGTTCTCTCCAGGCTGTGGTGAGGCCTCCAGGAGTTCATTGTAAGGCCACCACAAACAAGGTGATTTATTGCACCCAGACCCAACCTAACTTAATATACTCAAACGATTTTCATTCTTAAACTATACTTTCTTGATATCTAAATCACACTGAAAATTTTCTACTGATTATCAAAATATTTCATTACATGTATTACCAAAAAAAAAGTATTTATAAGTATATCTTAATTAAACCAATGAGATTAAAATATTACATTTAGTAAGTCTCTCTCAAAGGAAAATACAACTTTTCTGTGACTTCCGCTCGTCATCTGTAATCAAGTTTCACACAGTCTTAAGAAAACGTCCCGAAGATGATTGAATAACACAGCGAGAAGCGTTAGATTATCCTCACAAGCTTATAATCGTCTCTTCCTGATCACTCATCATTAGTAATGTCAGATGAGTCACTCGTGAGGGATGTGTGAGGCTTGACTCCTAGATACAAGTAAGTGAGATGTTGGTTACTTGTTCAGGCATTTTCTTCCTTGATTCGCCTGAGAGAGAATCTCTTGACCTCAATCATCCTCGTTGTTTGACACTGACTAGAGCTCCATATTCCATTCTCTTTTCAGCCTGAAAGCAAAAGAAAAGGCTTTAAATTTACGATTTTCTGATTACACCTACAAAATAAATTTGTAGGGAAAATAAAATAAAATAAATTATACCATGTATTAGACAAAATTTATATATTTTTAAGTGAGTTTGTGTTTATTTATATTGGTGCCTCATGACACTGGCAGCGTCTTCTGACTCACCCACCAACAGGTGCGTTTGTGTAGTCATCATCAGCTGTGGAAATATTTACAAACATGTCTTTAGGCTTGCAGGAACTCATAATATATGTATATATAAACTGTTCTCCAGAGGGCTGAGGAAGGCTTGTTGAGGTGGTTCGGACATGTAGAGAGAATGGAGCGAAACAGAATGACTTCAAGAGTATATCAGTCTGTAGTGGAAGGAAGGTGGGGTATGGGTCGGCCTAGGAAAGGTTGGAGGGAGGGGGTAAAGGAGGTTTTGTGTGCGAGGGGCTTGAACTTCCAGCAGGCATGCATGAGCGTGTTTGATAGGAGTGAATAGAGACAAATGGTATTTAATACTTGACGTGCTGTTGGAGTGTGAGCAAAGTAACATTTATGAAGGGGTTCAGGGAAACCGGCAGGCCGGACTTGAGTCCTGGAGATGGGAAGTACAGTGCCTGCACTCTGAAGGAGGGGTGTTAATGTTGCAGTTTAAAAACTGCAGTGTAAAGCACCCTTCTGGCAAGACAGTGATGGAGTGAATGATGGTGAAAGTTTTTCTTTTTCGGGCCACCCTGCCTTGGTGGGAATCGGCCAGTGTGATAATAAAAAAATAATAATATATATATATATATATATATATAATATATATATATATATATATATATATAAAATATATGTCGTGCCGAATAGGCAGAATTTGCGATCTTGGCCTAAATAGCAACGTTCATCTTGCCATATAGGACAATTGAAAATTTGTGTATGCAATAATTTCGCCAATATCATTCTGAACCTAACGAGAAAAATATATTTCACTGTTTTTGTTTAGTTTTAAATTACTGTAAACAAATCTAAAATATATTTAATTGGCTTAGGCTAAAATAAATTGCTCTTGTTATAATAAGGTTAGGTAAGTTTTCTAAGATTCTTTTGGTGCAAAATTTAATTTTTTTACATTAACATTAATGAAAAAAATATATCTTCAAACGTATAAGAGAAAATTTTAGAAAGGGCTTAATTTTAAACGAGTTCTTGCTAATTGACCAGTTTTACATATTCGGCACGACATTATATATATATATATATATATATATATTATATATAATATTATATATATATAATATATATATATATATATGCAAAACAACCACTCTGAAAGAATAGAGAAATTCCAAGCGCTTTCGTGACTACTCACATTATCAAGGAACTATGAAAGTAAAGCATCCAAGGAAGCTATATAAGGGGTCTGGCCAGCACCTCACTATCAGATCCCACAACGTCCGCGTCAGGTGTTTAACCGTTGTGGGATCTGATAGTGAGGTGTTGGCCAGACCTTATATAGCTTCCTTGGATGCTTTACTTTCATAGTTCCTTGATAATGTGATTAGTCACGAAAGCGCTTGGAATTTCTCTATTCTTTCAGAGTGGTTGTTTTGCATATATATATATATATATATATATATATATATATATATATAACACTGCGACTAGCCGGGGAACGAACCCGTGTTGTTTTAGCTCGCTTCATAGTGAGCGAAAATTCACGACGCTCTAACCTACTGGACCATACAATCCTAAAATAACAACGCACCCAGCAGAGCTAGGTGCTGTACCGTAATCCGAGGGCATACGATGGTTTTGGGTGCCTCAGAGCTAATTTCATTCTACTCCCCGTTTGGTGTACTAGCCTCCACGAGCAGTAATATATATATATATATATATATATATATATAATATATATATATATATATATATATATATATTTGTTCATGTGTCACAGTTTTGATCGTTGAAAAGGCATTGTTCGTGTCTCAATTAATGAAAATTGCATATTCAGTGTTCATGTTTGTCACTGGTGAACACAGAATTCAAACTGTTCCGGTGTTACCATTTGGTGAACGGTGGGTGGGCGTTGGTCATGCCTACAACAAGCTAACATTGCACTGCTGAATATTGCTTCTGCAATACGTAATCTTTAGGCCCAGAAGCAACTAGCCATTATGAAATCTGTTTTATTTTCAGTGTCGAGTTTTACCATTAGTGGTTTTGCCTTCTGTCGCTGGCTATCTTTCCACTCCTTTGTTATCTTTCTTTACAATTGCTATCCTTTCTTTCCCCCTAATATCTTTCCCTTTCTCTGATATCTTCGCTATCCACTGCTATTTTGTTTTTCCTCTTTCTTTTTTACCCTGGGATGTTCCCTTTCGCTTACCACATTTCCCTCATCTCTCTCTTTCTCTCTCCCTCTCTTTTCCTAGACTCTTTCCCTCCTTCCCTCAGGCTTCTGTATCTCTCAGCACAGTTGCAAGTTGAGTTGCAACACACACCAGAGAGGCAACTCCAGGATGAAGCTATCAGTACCTGCCAGTTAGCGCGATGATATGACGCTCTCACACACTGTTCCCTGGAGAAGCACACCCAAGGGAAACCCAGACTGTTGTGTGTCGAGTTTGTATTTCTGAAGTGGTGGTGGAGGAGAAGAAACAATGGAGGGGAAGGGGTAGTAACAGCAGCAGTGGTTCTGCAGACACAGCAATAGTGGAGGTGGAGGAGTAGAAACAGAGGAGGGCGAAGGAGCAGCAACAGAAGCAGTGGTTCTGTAGACACAGCAATAGTGGAGGTGGAGGAGTAGAAACAGAGGAGGGCGAAGGAGCAGCAACAGAAGCAGTGGTTCTGTAGACACAGCAATAGTGGAGGTGGAGGAGTAGAAACAGAGGAGGGCGAAGGAGCAGCAACAGAAGCAGTGGTTCTGTAGACACAGCAATAGTGGAGGTGGAGGAGTAGAAACAGAGGAGGGCGAAGGAGCAGCAACAGGAGCAGTGGTTCTGTAGACACAACAATAGTGGAGGTGGAGGAGTAGAAACAGAGGAGGGCGAAGGAGCAGCAACAGAAGCAGTGGTTCTGTAGACACAGCAATAGTGGAGGTGGAGGAGTAGAAACAGAGGAGGGCGAAGGAGCAGCAACAGAAGCAGTGGTTCTGTAGACACAGCAATAGTGGAGGTGGAGGAGTAGAAACAGAGGAGGGCGAAGGAGCAGCAACAGGAGCAGTGGTTCTGTAGACACAGCAATAGTGGAGGTGGAGGAGTAGAAACAGAGGAGGGCGAAGGAGCAGCAACAGGAGCAGTGGTTCTGTAGACACAGCAATAGTGGAGGTGGAGGAGTAGAAACAGAGGAGGGCGAAGGAGCAGCAACAGAAGCAGTGGTTCTGTAGACACAGCAATAGTGGAGGTGGAGGAGTAGAAACAGAGGAGGGCGAAGGAGCAGCAACAGGAGCAGTGGTTCTGTAGACACAGCAATAGTGGAGGTGGAGGAGTAGAAACAGAGGAGGGCGAAGGAGCAGCAACAGAAGCAGTGGTTCTGTAGACACAGCAATAGTGGAGGTAGAGTAGCCTCTCTCTCTCTCTCTCTCTCTCTCTCTCTCTCTCTCTGTGCAACAGTCCACAACATACACGGTGTTCGTGTCCTGACAGTTGGCATGGTTCTCGGTTCACTGTGTTGTCAGATATTCAGCGAGCTCTATTTTGTCTTAGTCCAGTATATTTCAGTCCATTCGTCTGCATGCACCAGCCCAGGTGATGTTGGTGCCTGTGTAGCCACACTACGTGTGTTTCCACCCAGACTGTCTGTGTTTCGCTAATACAGCGGGTTTTAGTTATACCCATTCTTATGGCATTTGATGAAACGTTTCATCCGTCCTGTTGGGCGAAACGTCTCAGTAAAACGCCATAACCCTCGTATTGTGTTTCATTCACAACTATATTTCAATAATTTACGAAAAATCTTCAAATTTAATATATAAAGAAACTTAGCATATTCTGCAACCCAGTAAAATTGGGAGGAAATGTCGATAATTCTTGGATAATATTGTAATTCCTGTAAGTTATGTGAAAACTGCCACTTTTCCTTTTCATGCAAGTTATTGGCAATTGCAAAAGATATTGCTGCAATACACTACCGTGGCTGCCATCTCCCTGCTTTCTCTCTCTCTTTCTCTCTCTAGCTCTTTCTTTGTGTCCCTTTATCTATGTCTCTGTCTCTGTTTCAGTCTCTCTCTGTCTCCATTTCCCTCTCTCTGTCTCTATTTCCCTCTCTCTCTCTCTCTCTCTCTTTCTCTCTCTCTCTCCCCACGATAATTGCTTCCTACTGTACAATGAATTGGTTTTAGTTCTGGTACAATATTTTAATACTACAAAACACTTAACTCCAAAATCTCAATGGGAATTTATCCAAAAATTTCCATAATATGAATGCTGTAGCGTATATACGGACGCATTAAATAAATTCTCAACGAACTACGTTCGACAGCGCCTGATTCTGTATTAATTTTGGAAGTCCCCTTACGGAATTAGCCATTACTTGTGATTATAACATATTTCAAAATGAAGGTTGCTCAGTGTTGATCCCCTCGCCATAAGTTTAAACCCCATCCGTTCCGTGGTTTGTTTATAACAGTGTTATACAGCAGGTTAGGTTCCGGGTTACCACTATAATGCAACAACTGCTGTAAAGTGAATCATATCCTTTTTCTACTTTCAATAGTATATAAAATCCTGATAACATGTCTTATATATGTTAAGTGAACAATAGAGCTAGGCCTAGAAAATGCATATACAGTGCATACATAACTTACCCTACAATATTTTCGTCTCTAGCTTATAGTGGGTAGCGAATATATTTAGTGTAAGAAGTCTGAATAAATTAAAAATGGGTATAATTGTAAACTGCTTCATTAGTAAAGTGCTGTAAAGTGAGGTGCTTTAAAGTGAAGTGCCGTAAAACGGGGTCTGCATGTATACTTGTATATGCAAAACAACCACTGTGAAAGAGTAGTGAAAT